GCTCCCCTTTCTCCCATTGTTAATTCTTTTCTTTCAGCTGCCCCCCAGCCCAGGTTTTACTTAGAACCAGCTGGTCTGAAATCTTTCAAAACAAAACCCCAAACAAACAAACAGGTATTCAGAGAGCGCTGTTGATCCGCTGATTGTGAAACACACCTGGTATGCAGTACCTTTGCTTTGCAGCCAGCTCTGCCTTAGGGCTTGTCTATACTTACTTTAGGATCCATGGTCCGGGGATGTAAGAAAAGAATGGAATCAGTTACAGGGATCCCCACAATGGGACCAGAAACAATTCAGAGCTCAGGTAAAGGCAGATTAAAGATTCCAGGAGGTTACGTGCATTAAAACTGTCTCCTGACACATCAGGAGGACAACAGATCCCACATTTGCTTTCCAAAAATGATGCCGGATGGATGTTTTACAGGTCGGGCTGGGAAGGTGTGGAAAGAAGACGGACAAATCAGTACCGGCTTGCCCACTGCAACCTTCCCCATCCCACCCACGGCTCTTCAGCCATGGCAGCGAGTCATCGTGATGTCACAGTTCAGCCCAGTTGTGTGCCGGGTCTGAGCCCCGGGGCGAGTAATCAAGCAAGAAGGTTTGGCTTTAAACGGCCTTTTCAGCTGAGGCTGCCCAAGGGCTGTGACCCGCAATGTGAGCGCGCCCCACAGGAGCGGTGGAAAGATGATAGCACAGCTGGCCACGATGGGGACGGCTCCCACACAGGACCAGACCCTGGATCCCCTCCCAAATATTGTAACCAGGTAACACTCTCTAGTCCCGTGGGAACTGCTGAAGGGGTGGCTGGCAGGGAAACATTTAGAAAAGCTGGCTCACTCCTGCTCCACTGACCCATCGGGTTGAGAACATTGTGGAAGGCAGAACTCCAGATTAGGGGGACCAATAATCCCATCCGGTGCATCAATCCTATGCCCTTTGTGGCCTTATGGGATTTCTCCCCTTCAGCGGGGTCCTTTTAGCCTCCCTCAGAGCTCCAAGACTGCCTGTCATTTCTCTTCCTTGACTGCACATTCACACTTCCCACCATTAGCCCACTGTAGCATGCAGAGTTTTGGGGACTTATTCATGATATTTATGCCTGTTTTGAATCAATTTTGCAATGTAGCCTGTCCAAGAGCTCATATACACACCTGCCTCTAGAATTTACCTCATGAGTACGCACCTCTAGACATGAGTCTACTCCACGTTGATTAGAAGGCTGCTCCAGCTAAGGAATCTGAGTTGGTTGGTTCCCGAGACAAGGTTTCAAAGGCCTGTTGTGTCTTAATGTTCTACAGAAAAACGAAAGATACAAGAAAATTACAGGGAATCATCACAGTTTTCTAATTATATACGGCCATACAAAGTCTAAATACCTGTATATCCTGCTTCTCTGCTGGATTCTGGCGACTACTGCAATAAAAGGCAGGAAGTCCTATTAGAAGGCTCCCAAACTAGTTACCCCTCAATGCTGATACATTAGACTAATGAACATAAGAACATAAGAACGGCCGTACTGGGTCAGACCAAAGGTCCATCTAGCCCAGTAGCCTGTCTACCGACAGTGGCCAGCACCAGGTGCCCCAGAGAGGGTGGACCGAAGACAATGATCAAGCGATTTGTCTCCTGCCATCCCTCTCCAGCCTCTGACAAACAGAGGCCAAGGACACCATTTTATCCCCTGGCTAATAGCCTTTTATGGACCTAACCTCCATGAATTTATCCAGCTTCTCTTTAAACTCTATTGGCCGAAAGGCTTTACAATCTGAGACAGATAGGAGAAGATATGGGGCAACAGGTAAGGTAGAGGAGGCTGTAGCAAGATTATTGGTGAGAGGAAGTTAGGAAGGAAGGAAGAGTAGGACACAATTCACACTAGACTTTGGTAGCATTGCTGCTAGGTCAGAGCCGCATACTGCAGCCAGCAGCAAGGGACGGAGGCTGAATCAGAAACTTGATGTTATACATATTTTTAAGAGCTGTTTCTGTTTTGCGGGGTCATAATGACAGAAAACCCAACTTTTCATGGGGAATTTTGGAAAGTCCGCACCAGACTTCAAGCAGAATGGGGGTTAATTTTCTTTGCTGGAAGGAAAAAAAAGGACCTGGAACTATGCAGCTAAGAACCCACCCTGCTTTATTAGAATCTGGCTGGGAACCCTGGTTATCCAAAGTCGCCTTCTGATTGATGAGCTGGGGCTTTTTCATGATGCCACGGCTGTGAAACAACTCTCAAAAGCACACAGCTGGGACTCATCCCTGCTTTCCCCCCAGCAACAACACTTACACGCATGAGGTGCAATTTGCGACGTGAGAAACTCTGATGATAAGCAGCAATAATGTGGGCACGAAGAGATTTGCGGGGGAAAGCAAAGGAGAACAAGTGAAAGCTTTTAACTGTCAGGCTCCCCTTCCAGCAGCAACTGAGGTCCTGTCAGTGTAAAAGCTAAATTAGAACACTAAATTAGTGTCTAAATGCACTTTTTGATAAAAGAAAGTGAATTCATACTAGCTGTTGGCCCACAAAAGGCTGCTGAAAAGGCAGCTGGGTTTCTGGCCTTATGTTGGCACTTTCCCAAACAAATGTATCTTCTCTTATTAGCACTGTGAAATGAATATTGGCATCTTTCCTCGTGTGGCATGGGCATAGTCAGAACAGAACCTAGAAGGGTTGACATTTTAAAAAAGATTGTACAGGTTGAACCTCTCTAATCTGGCATTCCGGGCATAGTCAGAACAGAACCTCTCTAATCTGGCATTCTCTGGTCTGGCAACATCCGTGGTCCAGCATGATTTGAGTTAGCCGGATGGCCACGTATGGGGGCAGCCAAGTTTCCCACAGTCCCATAAAGTTTACAGCCACCAGGCCTGGCTCTCAGTGTTCTGTACTGTTATTTAGCTCTAATTTACCCCTAAATGTCTTCTGAGAGCCCAGCAAGTAGGGGAAGTGTTGGTAATGCTGCTAGACAATATTGACCTCCCGTGGTTTTGCAAATTCTCTGGTTCAACATCGGTCAGATCCATGAGGGTGCCGGATTAGAGAGGTTCAACCTGTACTTGCCAAATTATCCCAATTTGCGTAAAAATGCCCACACGTTTTGCAAGATGTTTTGCAACATCATGCTCTTGGTATTCACCAGAAGCTGGAAGTGGATAACCAGGGATATGTCATTCAATAATTGCCCTGTTCTGTTCATTCCCCCTGAAGCACCTGGCATTGGCCACTGTTGGAAGACAGGATTCTAGGGCAGATGGACACAAGTCTGACCAAGTATGGCTGTTCTTATGTAATATTGGGGCTATGGTGCTTTGGTAAGCCATGCCTTCACTACCTGTTGGATTGATAAGCAGTGATTGATCCAGCAGCGGTCAATTTAGCATGTCTAGTACAGACACGATAAATCAACCGCCGAACACTTTCCCATCGATTCTGGTACTCCACCAAAACGAGAAGAGTAGGCAAGTGGAAAAGAGAATCAGCTGTTGAATTACTGCACTGAAGATACAGTGGTAATTAAATCTAAGTACCTCGACTTCAGCTACATTATTCACACAACTGAAGTTGTGTCACTTAGCTTGAAGACCCCAGGGAGCATAAACAAGGCCTCAGACTACCTCTTTAGGGCTTACAGTCTCCACCTTTTGTGCGCTGTGTTTGCATAGTGCCTACCACAATGAGTTCCTGGTTCATGACTTGGTTACTTAGGTGCTGCCACAATGCAAATAATAGTGCATATAAGTAGCAGGGCGTGTTTTGTTAAAAATAGGTTGAGAAACAAGATCAAACATTGGGCAGGAGGAAGAGAAAGCAAATGATGCATGCAATGTGTACTAGTTTTTGTCTATTTAAAAGCAGTTGCATTTCTCTATATTGAGTGCCAGAATGGCCTACCGGCCTGAACGTGGGGGTGGAAGCCAACAACACTAGAGTGCTAATCTAAATCGTTTTACCATATATGATGGCCACATGCAAATTGCTTCAATTTTCTAGGGTGTCAGCTTTCCATCTGTGAAAGAGAGAGACATTCATAATGACCACAAATCAAAATCATTCACATGCATGTGTTTTGTAGCATTAGGCATATGTTTGCACATGGCCTCGTGCTTCTGAGATTTTAAAATGAACTTGTTTCGGTGCTGCCAACCACATATACTCAAAGATCATGAACCCAAATCCTGGGATCGGTTTACATACAGATAGATAGATAGATAGATAGATAGATAGAGGAGGTGTGTGGGGATAGATAGATAGATAGATAGATAGATAGATAGATAGATAGATAGATAGATAGATAGAGGGGGTGTGGGGATAGATAGATAGATATGGTTCTTTGTCATCAGCTTGTGAGTCTTAGTGTGCACTCAGATCACATTTTCAAACTTTACTCTGCAACCATAAGAGCTGGAAGCTTACTCTGTGTGTAAGTGGTAGCTGAGAGGTTCGTCTACTCACAGGCATCCAGGAACTGGGGCTTTAAGCAAAACCTCCGCTATTGCGAGACTTCTGGTGAAAGTGCAAAGGCTTAGTTATCCAAATGCAAACACACAAAATATAGGGTGGCACTTTCAATGCCCCTGCCCCCCAAGGAAATTAAACCAAACTCCTGCAGC